GTAACCTATATAGGAACCATCAGATTTACGCATTTTAAAGACGGCAGTTCGATTGTGGACAGTTCCGGTGGAGTTGCGCAATAGGCATTCGAAGTAGTAAATGGAGCCTCGTTAAGCCAGTCAATGTCACATTGGCAATCCAATTTGCAACCTATAATGCAAATTACAGTGTAAGTGTGAGCTTTTCAAGCTCGCAGAATGCACATAGCATGCAGCTTTACAGATAGTTCCACCCACGTAGTCCTTCGCTGCGGACGATTGTTGCGTACGTGACGATACGTGCACGCGTATAAAGGTACAATTAATACACGAAGTGTGACAAAATAAACCACATTTAATAAATAAACAGAATGTTAATAACAAAGAACGACCACACTTGCCTTCTAGGTTAAACATCACGAATTGTGATGTGAGTTCAGTCAGATTAAACATGTCCTTGTCGATAGATGTCAGGCGCTCGTTGTACGACAAATCGATAGAGTTGAGCATTGGCATCCCATAGAAACCGCCAGGTTCGATGAAGCTTAACGCATTATGATCAATCGAAATTCGCTGATGTGAAAATGTAATAAAAAATTAACAATGATTTGATCGACAGAATCCTGCAATATAATACACATGCAAACAATATGGAATATATAAGATTAATGACTAAGTCGATGTGGTGACGTTACTAGACTATCTTCGACACACAACCACGGCAGTAACTCGAATAATAACAAGAGCGTATAAAGAAGGTCTTTTTTTTATAAAAAAAGCATTCTTTCTTAAAGAAGGCCTTCGTTATATGCTCTTGATAATAAACATCTACAAAGATTCAATGATGCTTTTCGGCTGTGTTTACGCTCTTACAATACCACGTATCACTGACTCGACAACGGGTGTCTGAACGTACCCTCACGCTACTCAGTCCTCTGAATATGCCAGCTACGATGGTGACGAGGTTGTTGTTAGATATGGAAACTGTCTGTGCTGCCGCTGCGCCCTCAAAGACTCCAACAGCAATGCTCGAAATCCGGTTGTTGTCAAATCGTATCATGTCAAGCTTCTTGAGGCCGGCTAAGGTTCCTGCTGAGACCGTGTACAGATGGTTGTTGTCGAGGAATAGTTCTCTGATTTCATCTAGATCTATGAATGTTCCCGGTGCAATATACTCGATGGCATTACGCGACAAAAAGAGGCTCTGTGGAAGCGTAAATAAATAAATGAATAAATGAATAAATAAATAAATAAAAACAATCAATAATTAAAAATTAAATAAAAAAACAAA